AAAAAAAAAACTACTTTTGTCTAACGTTCAAATTTCGTCATATGACAAATGAGCATAGGATCAAATAAATCTAAATCCTAATTTGGCTCAAAATCCAAATTAGCCGACGATATTAATAATTTGTGACTAATTTTGAATAAGTCTGAATCTAAATAGGATTGAGTCTAGCTATTGGAACCCTAAGTCTAAGGGCAAAAGTTGGGGTCAAAGTCATTCAAATCTACACCCACAAAAATTAACGAAACATCGTGTCAATAATAGCACAAGTGCGTGTAATTTCATGGAAATATCGTATAAAATATTTAAATTAACAAATAAATATTTTTACATTTCTAAATTAATTAAAAATAATTAATATTAATATTATATATACATTAGTGACATTTTGTTGATATTTTTCATATTTTGTCGATTTTCTTGTATCGATTCACTCTTCATGTCGATATCAAACCTATAGAAGTATGGATATATCTATGGAAATGTCTGATCGACATGTCAGACGGGTATTTAAAATTATCATGTGAGTTGAACTCTGATTTGAATTATGTTTTTTCCCCTAAATCTCAAACTTTATCTTTTCTACGAAGAGAGATCTTGTTTCCCTGTTTTCCTTTTCCTTTTCTTTAATTTAACCAAGCTTTCCTAAACTTCCATTTCCCAATGCCAATTGCCAACTAATAATTGACATGAGAGAAGGGACGGCCCATCAAATCGTATGAGGCTGATTAAATAAATATAATATTTGTAGTAGCTTATACTATATGCTTTATATCTTACATTAAATAACTCAAGATGGAAAAAGAAAAAAAAAAAGAAGAAGAAATTTGGTCAACTAAGAATATATAGGAGCCATTAGATTTATATGCTATTTCTGTCTGATTCTAGTAGTCTGCTGGGTTTTTATTATTATTATTATTATACAAAAATAATTGGGGTTGAGGGAGTTCCAACAGTTGATGAATTTTTTATATGAACTAGAGGGAATTTTTTTTTATTTATACAATTTTCAAACTTATTTTAAAAAACAATACAGACGTTTTCAAACTTGTTAAGAAAGTATTTTTCTTTTCAAGAAATCGAAAATATTTCATTGGAAGATGTGCTTCGCTAAAATTTATTCGAACGGATAAAAAATATTTGTTTATAGTCAAATACATATCTCGTTAAAAGTTATTGAGTTTAATTTAATGAAATTGTAAAAGATTCTTTCTGTTCTTGATTAGAAAGGATTATAGAAAATAAGTGAAAACTATGTTTTATGTTTTTTTTTTCCGCCAAATAAAATTTCTAACTCAAATAAACTATTTTTTTAATTTAGAATAATCTATTTTTAGACCTCATTTTTTAAATGTTTTGTCAATAACCATTAAAAAAAGCTACCAAAAGAGATTTCACGAAGAATAATTAAATAATTATATTTTAGTTGAATTACAAATTTAATCGGTATAAAGTTGTGTTTATTTAGTCTATCAATTTAAAAAGTTTTCACTTACTATTGATTTTAATTTATAAATCACTATTATTCATTTGAGGTTAGTGAAATAATTAAATTGTGTCAAATCATCGCATATTAACTTGTCATGCCTACACTTAAAGAAATGATGTTAGTAATAGAGATTATTGAAGTTCTGTACTCCAAATTTATAATTTAATATTATATTCTTTCTCCCAACCAAAATAATAATAATAATAACATTGTATTCTCTGAAAAAAATAATAAATTTGTAAGAAATTGCTATGCTAATCAATATTTTTGGTCCCGAAGAGAATCAGTGTTATAGATCCGTAAAAATTTCAAATTCTGCTGCTTCAAAATTGTTCTGCTGATGGTAATCTGACAAATCTAGGTTTCATTAACTTTTTTTCTTAATCAACGTGAGAATTTCAATTAAACTTTTCTTTTTCTATAAATGGAATTTTGATAAAATTTGAAAATAAGAAGTAGAGGGTTATGGTATACGTTGGGGTTAAATTACTAACTCAATTCCATGAATGTCTTTTGGTTCTCATTTCTCGTTTCTATTTTTAGAAAGATTCTCAAAATTATATAGAAATTTTAAAAACAGTAAATACACGTTTTTTCTTCTTCTTTTTATTCTCATTTTCAATTTGTTCCAAAACATAAATAAAAATATAGTTTTATCATTTTTTAATCCATAAGTATTCGAAACATGCAATTCTATTTTTCTTCATTATTAAAAAAAAACATAACCATGAAACCGGAAACGTTATGAAACAGGTCTTAAATGACTACGATGTTAGAAATTTTAATTTGGTCTCTACGATTTAGTCCAACTTCATAAACCATCCCATCGTTACCATAGTGATAATTTTTTTTTTCTTTCATGCAGAAGTGTTCATATGAGTAATTGTGTTAGTTAACTCTATAAAGTTTTAGATGAGTAAAAGATAAAATAAATTATGTAGATTTCTCCAATAAAAAAAGCACCGGTTAAATTTAATTAGATCATAGGACGAAATTAAAACTTCTACACCATATTAAATCATTGTAGTTCTTATGAACATGACATGATTTTCATCTATTTTTTAATTACAAATAAGTGAGCTAGTGAATTCGAACTCATGATTTCTTAGTCAAAATTTGGTGTCAATTACGTTAAGCTCATGTTGTTGGTACATGTGTTTCTCCTCCATTGAAAACAAATTAATTGATAAATTAATAAATGCATGCATTTTATGGATTTTTTTTTAATATACGTTCATAAGTATAAAAATAAGTAAAATGGCAACCTAAGTTTAGTGGTAATTGCATTTAAAAAACCCCAAATTATTGTATTTAAAAAAAAAACAAAAGTAAAATACTTTTATTCAATATTAAGGTACATTGTTTCTATATTATATATTGTTAACCCATAATAGAATTAATCTGTTTTAGAGAGACAGTTAACTTTAAAATTTGAATTATTTTCATTGAATTCAAAAAGCTTGCTTAATTATTCACAGTTAAAATAACTAATTTTACATTTGAAAAAAAAAAAAAAAAAGCCACACCCACTCCACTTCGACTTTTGGCCATTTGCAAAATTTATTCACTCAACAGGAAAATTAATTAAATCTATACGTGGATTAGTTGTTGAGAGAGAGAAAGAGAGACCATAATTTCAATGATTCATATAGATCTTTTGATTTTTCATTTATTTTAAATAGTTTTTTGAGAAACATTTATGTGGATGTACTAATAATTAAGGAAATATTGATATCAATGATATAAGTAGAAGAAAATGCTCCTTACTAATTATTGTTGTACACTCTCTTTACACTTTGAACCTTTGACATTTATTTGCCCAAAAAAATAATGGCCTACAACAAATTATAGCTCTTGAATGGTCTCTTCACTCCATTTTAACACAGTTAAATTCATTAATGAAAGTTAGATAGATAATGGTGGGTGCATTTGATTTGATCCCAGGGGAAAATGTAGCTAAATATGGTTCTGAGAAAAAATAGCTAAATATGTCCATCGTTTCTAATTTCTTGAAGTTTTCTCAAATTTACGTTTAATATATTAAAATTTGTTAAGGAGAAATCAAATTATTGTTTTGTTAATGTATTTGGACACATGGTATGTTGTTTGAACATTCCATTTGGAAGAAATGAGTTTTGTAGTGGGTGAGTTGAATTTTATGCTATCAGGTAATATTATGAGTGACATTTTTCATGTGTTAAAATACGTTAATAAAACAGATATATTATTCTGGTTTTTATTTCTATACTTTGAATCTTGGTTCGTGTTTTATTGTATTTCCAAGAATAATAAAATACTGCACAAGATTGTCCATTGAACTACTATTAAGATTCTTCGAGCTATATTTGATAACAATCGCTTATGCGTGCACTCCTTAGGAAGATATCCTATTTATCGGTCCATTTACTTGTTCTACAAAGAGAACCGAACTCTATCGAGAGGATCCATACTTGGAATCTACAACGAAGCGTAGGTTTACTTTTGGAGCTAAAAGGAAAAAGAGAGAATTGATTTCCCAGCCTCTTTTACCCCATGTAATCTAGTTCTATTCTAAATAAGACTTTCATTTACGAGGTCATGAATTTAACAAAATTTAATATTTGTTATATGGAAGGACTAAATTAATAATATTTAATACAAGATTGAGAATCTTACCAAATTAAAGACCAAAATGAAAATGACCTAAAGATTAGGGATCTTTTTATGAACTTGTTGAGAGGGAATTAACTCAAACATGGTACCCAGATGCCCTGCACTGTAATGTTCATTGAAACTGAAAGCATAAATTTTTTTTTTTTTCCTTGTTGGGTGTGAAAAGGAGTTGAGATTTTGTATTGGGTTCTTGACCAAACAAACCCCTCCATTAAAGATCTTAAAGAGCTCTCCTTCCGAGACTGAATTAAAGAAATGGGAAGAAATCCTCAATAAGAGTTGGCAATGTCAGTTGCTAGCTCAAACACAGGAATAATTATAAGCTTAAAATAATAACAATGGCAGAATTAAAGTATTATTATGCCTTATAGTAAATAATTAGAGAGCTAAGTATTAAAGTAGATGATTAAAAATTGTGAATCAAGAAAACTTTAGAGTGGGTTTGCTTTGCTTTTTGCCTTTAATTATTTTTGCAGTAGAAGTAGCGGTGGTTAATCATCAAGGACACTCTTTTTTATGTAAGCGTGGGTATAAATGCAGCGTTCCTTTACTGTTCCTTTTTCTCTTTCACTCTTCTTCAGATTCCGAATTACCCTTCGCTTCTTCCCTCTTCATTTTCTCTCTCTCTCTCTCTCTCCAAATTACAAGCGCTGTGTCTGCATTTTGTCTGAGTCTTCTTCTGTGGGTGACAGTGTTTTTGCAGAGGAGACTGCCAGCAGAAGGAAAACGAAGGTGGGGGCTCTAAATTCAAGCTCTAATTCAGCTAAAAGTTTGTGGAAAGTGGAATAGAATCTGAAATGGGTATTTCTTCCCTGCCATTTTTGACTCTGCTTTCGAGTTTCGACCTCGTATACTTCTTTTCTCTGACTAGGGTTTTGAACTTACTGTACATACTTTGTGTTTTTTCCTTTTTTCGGGTGCTCATTTTGAATTTCCTTTGATGGGTTGATGCTTCTTTGCATTTTTTAGCTCAATAATTGAAGTGGGTTGTTCTCTTATGGTTGAATTCTTTTGGAAACTGTTACCAAAATTGACATGTCTCACTACTGGTCATCGGTTACTTTGAAAAAATCTGAAACTACGGGCAGTTTCTTGGACTTCAGTTTTGAAATGTTTTGCCATTGTGTCGTTTGTTTTATCTTCTGTTCCAACTTGCCATTTTGGGCTATGGGAATTGGATAATTTTGAAATCTATTTTGACTTTCTCTGCAGATGCTTGTTTCTTGTTGGAAAGAAGTTGAAAGAAGGTGAGTGAGGGTTTGTTTTCTGATAGTATGAATGGGAAGGATGAATTTGAAGTTGAGAGTAGGACCAGTGATCCTATGAGTATCTCCTCCGGCTGGCAATTTTCTGCTGCTAATCTCACTAATGACTCTGTGGGATATGTTTCGACCGGGAATCACTCGGTCGTTAGCAATGGGGATCTAGGTGTTTCTTCTTGTCCTTCAACTTCAATGCCTAACTTATTCACTCCAACCCTTTTGAACCATCATACCAACATGCAAAACTCGGGATTCTGCAGCATTTTTAATGAACAAAACAGCATAGTTACTTCTAATACAACTGCAGTTGATGGAGAGAGTCTGAATTCTTTGAGATCTGGTAGTGATAGAATGCTGGGTATGGATTGGAACCAGCAAAATCCATGGATGAAAGGAGTTTTCTCGGCAAACGTTCCTGGAACGTTTCCAGCGAGTTTGTCTCAACTTCCAGCTGATTCGGCATTCGTAGAGCGTGCAGCAAGGTTCTCCTGCTTCAATAATGGAGTTTTTGTGGCACCGCCCACCGGTCCATTTGGTATTTCTGACTCTATTAGCATTCATTCTAGGGGTGAATTTGGAAGACAAGAAGATATTTCCAGAAATGGAGCCGCCAAAGATGTTTCTTTGCCCATGAAGTTTGAGGAGGCTAAAGAAAAGAATCCACCTAAGACTGAGAAAGAAAGTGAGAGGTCTCAAGATAGGGCAAAACAGGGTTGTGTTGGTGAATCTGGTAACGAATCTGATGAAGCTGGATTTAGTGGGGGTCAAGACGAGCGATGCACGCTGGAGGGTACTATCACTGAGCCATCTACTGAAGGTCTCTGCTCCAAGAAAAGGAAAAGGGGTGGGCAGGTAAACTACTATAATGTCTTCTTTCTCTTGTATACTGAGGGGAGGTGGAGGTTGCTTTTAGTTTCTTGGACTTGAATATTTGATTTGGTTAGAATATGGGACCTGGACAAGCTAAAGACGCTCCACAGCAAATTGACGAAATTGCGAAGAACAGAGGATTAAATCAGCCAAAGGGAGACCAAAAGCCTGCAGGGAAGCAAGGAAAACAAGACTCTCAAGCATCGGATGCTCCCAAAGAAGAATATATTCATGTTAGAGCTCGAAGAGGCCAGGCGACAAACAGTCATAGTCTTGCAGAAAGGGTTAAGATTTATGTTCAATTCTTTTTAGTTTATTTAAAACAAGTTTTAACTATGTGATTTTTTGGAAATAATTAACCCTGGTCTTTATAGGTAAGAAGAGAAAAAATAAGTGAAAGAATGAGGCTCCTTCAAGACCTTGTGCCTGGGTGCAGTAAGGTTTGTGAGTCAAATTCGCTTAATGTTCATTTTGTGTACTTGTCACATCTTCTGAAAGCTAATGGATCTCAGGTCACTGGCAAAGCTGTAATGCTTGATGAAATCATTAACTATGTACAGTCACTGCAACGCCAAGTCGAGGTAACTAAAAGAACCATACTTTCCTTCCAATGAACTGAATTCTTCAACAATGTTATATGGTTTATTTTGTATACGATTCCTAATCTTAAATTATATCTTATGCAGTTCTTGTCAATGAAACTTGCAACAGTTAATCCCAGGCTCGATTTTAACATCGAAGAGCTCCTTGCAAAAGAGGTACATAAACTACTCAAGTCCACTGTGACTCGAAAACTTTGTTGTTGCTTTGATTCTGATTCATAATTATCCATTCCATATTTCTGCACAGATCATTCAATCCAAGGCTGGTCCATCCTTATTTGGTTTTCCTCCTGATCTGCCTATGCCTTACCTCCTGCAACATCCATCTCACCAAGGACTTGTTCTGCCCTCTCTTCCTAATATCGGGAACTCCTCCGACCTGCTGCGGAGAACAATTAATTCCCAGCTTACTTCATTTGTTGGTGGATTCAAGGAGCCAGTTCAGGTTTTCTTCAAGCATCCTGAGCTGAATTACCTTGCTTGCTCTATCCTTGCTTTAGACAGTGCTATAATAACTGATTTCTTTCTTCCTCCTGCATTTTTGAGCAATTATTTGTCCTGGCTGATGGATGGTAATTTTCGCCTATGTTTCGTAAAATCTTTCTAAAAAATACTTGCACACTGTATTTTGAGTCGGATTTGGGTAAATGTGATATTTTGATGTGCCCAAACCAAGCATTTGTCTGCACCTACTTGCACAGTTGCACGTAATTTTGGAAAGTGATGTTGACATGGATACTCTTCGATAGGACAAAATGCTTTTGTTCTTCCTGGAAATGCTCTCATACTTTTATGATTAGAATGTAATATGGATATGGTATCTACAGCTACCAAACGTGTGGGAGGATGAGCTCCACAATGCCGTTCCGATGAACTTCGATGGGACTGCACCCTCCAATGGCCAAGATGTCGATGGTACTTCTGTTTAAATTTCCAGACTGTTTTCCCTTCGATGATTGATAGAAAGCTAACTCCCAAGTTGGTTCCCCTTTTCATTACTTTCTCAGGTTCGACTTCACAATGCAACACAAGGGCAGAACTCTGAGTTTGCTTACAAGTTCTTGTCCTTCACATGATTCGCCATTGTATATGTTAAATTAGCATATGCATTCTATAGAGAATAATGAAAATTTCAATTCTGCCAAGTTTGATGGTGGATTTCGCGGATAAGCTTTGTAAACATGGAAGGGTGAGCAGTCATACCGAAATCTTGGCATTAAGAGATATGAGGATCGGGAATACGAGCATCGAATGCAATGCGTTCACATGTATGTCAATGCAAGAATTGAGAATACCACAAGGAAAAGATCTGCTGCACAAAATTGAGAATGTTATAATGGATCAGAAAATAGACTGCTACCTCCAAGAAGATTGAGAAGGAAAGTTGAGGATGATGTTTAAGAGTGAGAGTTGAACCAGACTGCGCCAAGTTTTGCACCATCTCCATTAAAATTTATGATCTTGCTCTGTTTGTGAACTGTAGTCTTTTTACATATTTTAGTTTCTTTCTTCCATCCTTTTTTTTGTTTTTTTTTGGTCTAAATAAGAGCTGTCTTTACAATCTTCAAACACAACATTTGATAGCTAAAGCCATCTTTAGGGGTAAGACAATTGAAAATGCAAGATTTCATTGCACTATTCTCAAGCATTGTGGACCTTTCAAATTTCCGTTATTATACCAACTATATAGAGAGATTTAATCATCAAAATCTGTTCTAATCATACATCTCAACATTTGTGAATCAAAACTTTCCCATTCCAAAGAATCATCATCCACACTCCACGCACCATATTGTTTCTTTTTTCCACAGGAATGTCAAAAAGCTTCTAAAATCTAACCAGGAGTCACTTAATCCTAATCCTGCCATGGATCATCCTCCGCCCTCACTTCAGATGGTTCGATCACTTGCACTTCTGGTGCTTCCCCGCTCTCGGATTCAGCAGCAGGAGCATCTTCGGTATCGGTGTTGTCTTCTAATCTGCCCCATCTGCCTCCAAGAGCCATTGCCATCATCTCGTATATCTTGTTTCCCAACTCAGCTGGGCTGTCAGGCTGCCATTCAGACGAACAGTGATAGTACAGTAAGATATCAATCAAAATCGTAGAACTCTTGAAAGTAATCTATTTTAATTGAATTTTCACTCACAGAGAATCCACTGGATATCAGTGCAGTCTCGTATAAAAGATCAACAGCTCTTGTCGCATCACTGCTGTCTGGTGAATTTTTGCAAGCGGCCTGTAGAGCAGAACAATCTCTCAACGTAATTCTAGAAAGAGAACCATTTATGAAGTATGAACTATTCTTATTCTACTTTATGGTGTAAATAAAATCCTCCGTTAAGCCACTTAAATCTATCAAATCTATGCATCTCATCTCATCTCATCGCAAACTTTAACAAGAAATTTGCTTCATCGTAGAAGATAATTCCAGATGCGCTCCAACCCAATCAAGTTAAATGAAAATCATCTTAGCTTACAGTCTACAGAGACTATGATGTACCTATCCCCATTCAAAGTTAGTACAGGACTGGATTCAGATGTTCCGAAGAACCAAAACAAACGGAAGTTGGCCTAGCCTTCAGACTACAGGAACCTAGCACCATTCAAAGTAAACAGAAATTGTTTGAAAGTCTTACATTTAGATCCTTGACGATCGGATGGTCTGGATTAATCTCCAAAATTCTCCTTCCCCTCATGAACTCCAAACTTGAAGTATCCCCAAGAGCCTGTGCCTTCATCAGCCTGGAGTAAGGGGGGAAATTGTCAATAAAACATTGTTACAAGTGAAAACCCACAAATTATGTTTAGATCAAGGCATTTCAATAGTTGGAGAATGCTTAAAGCTCATTTGCATCTTCCCAGGCTAGTTTAATTATGTAGTAAAAGGCTAAATCTAAAAGAATTGTTGCTGAACTATGATAATTCATCATAATTTCATTGGTAACAGGAAAGATGCCGAACTGGGAGGATCATATAGGATAACGGATATTCTTGAATCTTGATATCTTCATCTATGAGAAGAAAACACCATCAGTTCATATGTTGAGCATTTAATCCAAAACTAACCTTTCCATATTTGCAGACCATCCAAACTTGCCAGAAACTAGGACACATGGAGAAGAGCTTAAGCGCTTTGAGATTTGGACTTTCGCTACCTTGTCACCTAGTTGTTGCTTAATCCAGTCACAGAGAAGGTTGTAATCTTGCTTAGTCTCCCTTTCTTGGACTTCATCTTCATCACCTGATACAAGAACGATATTTTTAGTAAATTTCAATATGAATAACCAACAGTTCTTCACGAAAATAAAATTCTCTGAAGGTAAGCTAATTTCTAAACCAAAGAACAGGGAGAAAAGAACAAACCCAGCTCTAAATCTTCCTTGCTAATATCAACAAATTTCTTCTCTTTGTAAGTCTGTAAGTTCTGGATAGCAACTTCATCGATAGGTTCAATCAAGTAAAGAACCTAATCAAACAAAACAACCAAACATTAGATCCAGAGTAAGGCTGGTCAAAGAACGGCATTAATTATAAATGCATTCCGCTAAACCAAGAAGACCAAAAATTGGGAAGTGGGACAAGAGAACACCCAACTGAGCCCAGCAGTTAGATAAGAACAACTTTCAACCAAAGCATTCATTAAGGAGGTACAATAGCAAAATGTTATAAAATTGTGTTTAAAACAAAAAAAAAAAAGGTAAATCACCCCATTTGAGGCAGTACATTGTATCAATAAAAAATACAATGTGTGAGTTTCTCCGCATGGCAACAGTTTAGCACTAATAATAACAATGATAACTCTTTACCTCAATATCTTTTTGAACCAACTTCTCCAAGAATGGAGCACTTTTGGCACTCTTTAAGCTGTCGGTCGCCAAGTAGTAAATTGCCTTCTGATTCTCACCCATGTTTTCTACATACTCATCTAAGCTCTTTAGCTCCTCCTCACTTTTGGAGGTGTAAAAACGCAATAATGGTGTAATGCGCTTGTGGTTTCCAGTGTCCTCAATGCATCCTAATTTTAAGAACCGGCCAAAGTTCTCCCAGAATTTCTTGTAATCCTGAAATCAAGTTTTTTGTTTTTTCAATTCACACAGTTCTACTAAAAAATGAAATAGAAGTCATCTTGGGGCCTTATAGCTACAAACCTCTTTATCTTCACTTTCAGAGATGTCTTGAATCATGTCAAATGTTTTTCTGACAAGTCTCTTTCTCATAATTCTCACCTGGAAAATATTTGACAAGAGTAATCAATAATCATCACCAAACAAATCAATCGGTTGCACCAACAATTTCCCAGTAAAAGATAATGTTCTTTCATAGTTGATTTGGAACGTTCTTAAAAAGGGAAATTATCTTTTAAATTGTGGTAACCATATTTGCTGGCCACTGGTCACATTAAACCCTTTTAAGTTTCATGAGTTCAAGCCTTAATGCCAAGTGCCAACTATATAGAACATTAATATCCTAAGAATCTTTCAATTAGAATATTGCATTTACAACAGCTGAAAGCCAAAAGTAATATAACCAATCATAAGAAACCTAGGTACATGTGCAAGACTTACGATTCGGCTTTCTTGAAGAATTTCTCGAGAAACATTTAGAGGGAGGTCGTCAGAATCTACAACACCTTTCACGAAGCTCAAATATCGCGGGAACTGCAAAGCATATGTGAGATTTAGTTAACAGTTCAAACTATGCTACATGAGAAATTCCCATTAATTTTTTATTACATCAAACACCTGTCAGAAAATAACAAGTGCTTTCCATGTAGGTTTTAGGAAAGAGCCAGAATTACTATTCTCAGAATAGTAATCGTTTAACTAATCTTAGAAGGTATGGAATTCTACCTGCATTAAAATGAAAAGTCGAAATACAAAATATGAAAACTTGTCTTTCCAAAAAAAAAAAGAATAATAATAATAATAATAAAATAAAGACTTGCAGACGTTTTAAAGTCTGATATGACACATACGTCTTATAGGTATAAATATACTCACCAGCTCACCATCAAAATCATCAGAGATGAAGACACGCTTAACATACAAACGAATATTCTTTGTTTTAGGATTCACTACATCCTCATTATTAAGAGGTCCCATTCCAGGAATATATAGAACACTCCTGAACTCCACTTCGCCCTGCAGAGTTCAAAATAAAATTAGCACTCCTAGGCCCTAATAGAAGATAAAAAATATCTTAATTAAACCAAATGACACACTATACCTCAGTGGTGAAGTGAGTATATGCAAGTGGCTCTAAAAATTCATTAAATGTTTTCTTGTAGAATTCATTGTACTCATCCTTCTCAACTTCTTTTGAATTCCGCATCTACACAAGCAAATTAATAGAATAAGGGATTAAAAAAATAAACAGTTGCTGCAAAACATTTAAAGATTATAGAACAAAATCATTTCTTTACATGTTCAGTATTGACGTATAAAACAGGCATCGGTTAACTCACCCAGATTGGCTTTGTTTCATTAGCCAATTCCCAGTCCCAATACTTCTCAGTTTTTGCCTTCTTTTTCTTCTCACCCTGAAAAACAAGAAACCCCGTTAAATACTTTGATTTAGGAGAACAGTGTAAATCTCCAAATAAGATTAACAAGCTGGTTACATCTGGTTTTGGTTCTTCTCCTTCTTTAGGTTCTTCTTCTTCTTCCACCTGCCCGAAAAATCAATTCAGTATAAAATAGTAACAGACATGATAATTAAAAATAATACACATGCTGATTCCTCCTAAATGATAATCACGTCAAGAAAGTGATTAACTAAAATAAAAACTCAAAGAATGCCTTACGGTAAAATAAATATCAGAGATTGGGGGTTCATATAATCATTTTGGACAACTTTTAAGGAAGTGAAATCTGAAAGGTTAAATTCATTTTGTAAAGAAACACCCAATCAATTTTCTTCGCATACCCATAATCAGAGTATGATATACCCAAACCAATTAAGAAAGGGTGAGAACTAGAGCCTTTTGCACACTTCGTTCATACAAGACAAGTGTACATGCATAGAATTCATACCTCAACAGTTCTTGATTTCTCTTGCCATGTATAGATGGGGAAGGAAACGAACTGTGAATAATTCTTGACCAAGCCTTGAATTCTACTCGGATCAGAGAATTCATACTTGTCGTCTTCCTGCAATATGAGAAGAAAATAAAATGACTGAAGAACTTCAGAGATCCTCATTTATTGGCATCAGTTACCACTTGCCACCAAAACAATGCAAATCATGAACCTCTAATGTACTATCTACAAACAAAACATCGCATTAATTTTTCCCCTTGCAAGCCAAATGGCAATCGTACAGCAATTTATTCATCTAAATTGAGCTGTTCTACGAATCACTTCTAAAAATTCTGAGTTCCGTAGCAGTTCCTAACAGGTATGAGAAACCTTCCTAAATGTTGCGTGATAGAAGAAATAAAGAAGATTGCATACCCTTAAGTACAGGGTGATCTGTGTTCCCCGCTGTAGAAGCTTTTCAGGATCAGTTTCTTCCCTAATAACATATGAACTACTATCAGCTACTGCTTCCCAAACATATTGTTTGTCTGATTTTGGGCTCTTAGTGGATACAACGACCTGATTGCATATGATCACATAAATGCAAAAGATAGGCATAATGAGAATCTCAGCAGAAAAGCAATTTTCATCAAGCTTCAATTAGTAGAACAGTTGTTTTGTCGAGGTAAAATGTAACTCTACCTTTTCAGCAACAAGAAAGGCTGAATAGAATCCAACACCAAATTGGCCAATCAAGCTATTGTCTGCTCCAGCATCCTTATTTTCCTGATGGAATCGTTATCTTCAAACATTTAATTTCTCATGCATCATAAAAGGCAAAAAGGAACTTAAGGTGTGAAAAATACGACACTGAAATAAATAAATAGAGGAAGGAAAAAAGCAAAAAAAAAACCTTCAGGGCTTTCAAGAATCTTGAAGTGCCACTCTGAGCAATAGTTCCAAGACAGTCAATGAGCTCTTCTTTAGTCATTCCAATACCCGTATCCCTAGAAATACAGAAAAGTTCCAATTTTAATGTAACAAAATCCACTCCGCAATGATAAGTAAAACTGGAAAAGGTCAAAGAAAATTGTCATACGTTATGGTGATAGTACCACTGTCTGCATCGGGTTTGATACGTATTTCAAGGTCACCAGCGTCTCCAAGCAGAGAGGGTTCAGTCACGCTCAAGAATCTTAGCTTGTCTAAAGCATCACTCGCATTACTAGAGAATGATTTTAAAAAAATTAATAAAAATAATAAAATAAACATAAAGATAAAGAAGTATTAAACCACACTCAGAATGTAAATCCACTCCTGTTCGTTAATAATTATTTATCGCCTCCTTAAAGATACTGCTATATATTTTTTATATAAAGATAATGCAATAAGATTATTAAGAATGATAATGACATGATAAAATTTCCGAGAGAAAAATAAGACAAAACTAGAAGTTCAGAAACCGCTTCCTTTGTCCCACAGAGAAAGATATGAATGAAACTACAGAAACCAGTACATATTGAACATCATTACCTCACTAGCTCTCGAAGAAATACCTCCTTGTGGCTATACAGACTGTGAACAATCAAATCCAGAAGGCGACTAACCTGCATCCATTATATGTTTCAACTTTCAGTAGGCAAAAACTCATAACTAAATACATCATAGACTTCACTGCATAAAGCCACCACATAAACCCGAAAAATGTATGCCAATTTGTATTTCATGAAATACCAAGTCAACGAAATCAAGCCATAACAAAATTTCACAATCCGTAAATTTGTGGGTTGTCTTGTAACCACCCAATCGCTTCAGAGAATATGAAAAAAAAAAAAAATCTATACATCATTTCCCAAGTCGTTTCTGTGTTTCGACTACAGAAAAATCTAAATAATTTAATAGGATGATTATTGCCCTTCCCACTGCTCGGTATCGGTTCAAAATCAATCGACATGAACAATAAACAGACGGAATTCAAAGACCCACCTCGGCTTGGTACTCAAACTTCTCACCGGGTGTCTCAGCAGCTTCTTTTTCGGCCACGGCCGCCTCGCACCGGACCGCAATCCGATTGCTCTTCCTCTCAATCTTCCACTTCAACCCACCACAAGAAGAAAAGCCCTTTCTGAGCCCATTTTGGGGCAGAAAAGCGCTCCCCAACCTCGAGCCCCTACCACTACTGGCTAAAGGGTAAGAAAAAGAGGAAGGAAGTGAAGAGAGAGCAACAGTGGATAAGCTTCTGCTGAGAACTGGAGCCATGAAGCGCGATGGAAGAGATAAGAAGAGTGCAGAATGAGGAAAATGGCGAGTTCCAGCAGGAGAAACTGATGAAATTAAACCCTTTTGAAGAGGGTTTAAGGGGATGGCGTAGAGGGTTCTAGAAAGACAGAGCAGAACAAACAATTTGGGGGTTTTGCAAAACTTTGGAGCTATGTGCCTCAAAAATGTAAGGCTCAGATTCGTTCTTCCATTTCAGCTAACTCAAAACAATATCATTACAAATATATGGGAAATTAATTGCTTTTTGTTAGATGTAACGATTTTCTTCTCAACTCGTTTCAACTTTTAATTGTAGTATTAAAAGAGAGAAACAAAAAAACGAAAAAACAATCAACGGAAATTTGTGTTTAAAAGATCCAATATAGAAAAATAGAACTTTTCAAAAAAAATAATAATAATAATAATAATTTGTCTAATAAAAAAAGAGACCAATTTATATCTCTTTTTATCTATAAAACGTGCTCTGACAGGGTGCGACTCAATACTTGAATAGTAAAAGAAGTATGTTTTCTTTTATTTTTCTTCTTTCAAGCATGCTTGTGTATTATGGTACTAAAGAAAATGAAGGAATTCGTATCTATCTACGAATTCACACACAAATTTACTATTCGAAACTAAGATTGCTAGAAATTTTATAAGAATATAAGTACTACCGTAGAAGTATATAGCCTAAATTTTAACGTATAATGCATTATAATTTGCACCTATTACAATAATAACAATACGTAATATATAATAGTAGAAGAAAAATATTTAAGTATTTACTAGTCGATACCTATTGAACACCGGTAAAATTTGACAACTCTTCATTTATTTGAAAATAAAAAATAAAAACCATTGCTCTTTCTACCTTTCTCTTTCTTACTTTTTCCATCAAAATTTTAATGATAATAAACAAAAAAAAAAGAGTGCTAACTAGTTGACGCCTAAATATTTATTGTTTGTAAACTCTGTTACAAATAATGAGTGCTAACTAGTTGGAGCCTAAATATTTATTGTTGGTATACAAACGAGTTACTAATGACCAAATACTCGGGTTTATGTATCATGGTACCAAAGAAAAAAAAATTAAGTGTATTTTCTTTTATCTTTCCTCAGCATGCTTATTTGTCATGGTATTACAGAAAAAGAAGGAATTAGTATCTATCTATAAATTTACGAATGAATCTACTAAGATAAGATTGCTAGAAATTTCACGAGAACACAATACTACCGTAGAAGTCTATGGCCTCAACGCATTATAATTTGCACCTATTACAATTATTAACAATACAAAATACAAAATATTGCAGTTGGGATTTTGTGGCCGAAGGACTTGCTTCATATGAGATGTTGGACTTCTACTTCCTTTTCTCCCTATTCATGATATCTTTACTTTCTACTTCTAAGATCGACGGTGTCTTCCATTCGGTAGATGCTCACAAACGATGATGCGATAGTCATTTCGGTGTCCGTTGAGAAAGGTGAGAGCTTGAAGTTACAGGCCGCGATTTGCCAGACGAGGAAGAAAAGACTGTGGAAAGCAACCTCTGTACTAATTGATAACACCATGCCCAATCTTCACAACATCACGATAGTGTTATTGCCAGAAATTCATGTCAGCATGCTTCTTTGTTCTAAAGAAATCAAGAAAAGCAATCATAATAATGTACAAACAAGTGAATCTCCTCAAGCTAAAAGTACAGATCTCTCGTGTAAGTACATTGCAAGAGATCCCATCAAAGAGATTACAAGAAAGCTCTCTAGTTAGCTTTAAGATTATTGAGACTACAAATGGTAAAGGGAGGATAAAATTTACACCAAAGAGTCATGGTAAGAAAACAGTCTGAGTTGCGAATGAGTTGTTGAAGATGCAGTCGTTCCTTTCCATCTAAATCAACACAAAAGAACCAAAAGAAGGCTCTAATAATCTGTAGCCATAAAAATTTTCTTTCCTTCCTTGAAAAGATGGCCGAGCAAGGAGGTCTGGAATAAGTACTTCATATCATTTGGGAGAGCCTTTAGGACAGGGCACCAAAAATCATCAGAAAAAATTAATGTAACAGGGGTGAGTGCTCTCGGACTTCGTCTCTGTTTACGCACCGAACACACCATCCAAGGAGCACCACTTCGACCATCGCTTTTGGATTACCTCATGCATTGATGCCTTTGTGACAAAGTTCGATCTTATTTGGATATTTGTGCTTCCAAATGCTTTTGTAGAGGTGGATATCAACATCCTCATAAGCTCATAATAGAGAGCGGACTTCGGATCCAATTGCCATAGACAATCATCCTTGCGTGCTGTGAGAGTAACTTCCATAAGCGTGTTAGAGAAACCCATTCTTCAGTTTCCTCTTCCTTGAGATATCTTCTGATGTTAAGATACCAATTCACAGTAAATTCTTCCATGTGTTTTTTTCATTCTGATAAAAGAAAAGGTCATTTCAATAGCAAATATACCTTAAACCAAACATACAGCTTCATCTAGAATGTATCCAATGCCAAGACAATTAATTAATGCATTTAATTCAGGATGTGTCCTATCTCCAGTGCTAAAAACACGCAGTCCATCCTTGAGCTCGATCCAACTACAACCCGGTGTCTTCTTAACGTTTTGTTCCCTCATTGTTCGTCTAACCTCAAATGCTTCTTCATATCGGCCTACGACTCCGTACATACTGGACATCAATGTATAACTACCACTACCACAATTCTTAGGTTCAAGTTGCATTATCTTTTCTCCAACAACTTTTCCCAAATCTGCATCCCCATGAAGTCGACATGCTCCCAATAAAGCCATCCACAGAACAAGGTTGCCCTGAAGAGGTATTCTTTGAGCCAGCTCATAAGCTTCCCCCAGATGTCCAGCTCGACCGAGCATGTCGATGATACATGTATAATGCTCAATACTCGGAACCACACCAAATTTTAGTTCCATTTGGGCTAAGAACGAACGCCCTTGATGTACAAAGCCTGCATGACTACATGCAGAAAGAACTCCAACAAATGTGACAGCATCTGGCTTGATTTGGGCCTCACACATATGGAGAAACATATCCAATGCCTCCTTACCATATCCATGCATCGCATAACCTGTAATCATGATATTCCATGACGCCACATCCTTATTGCTCATTCGATCGAAAACTATGAGGGCATTTTTCATGCATCCACATTTTGCATACATGTCCATAACAGCATTGTTTAGTAGAACATCAACAGCATCTTCACTGTTTTCATCTTTTCCCAATCCGTTGACAATCATATATCCATGGATTTCTCTACCATGCATGAGGGCAGCCAAGTGAGAGCAAGCTGGAAGTACAGAAGTGATAGTAACCACATCAGGAAGAACCCTAGAACCTAACATCTTACCAAAAAGCCTCAAGGTATCATCATGATTACCACACTGCTCATGAACAGATATAATTGAATTCCATGAAAATAAATCCTTCTCATTTATCATCTCAAAAATCACTAAAGCGTCTTCAATATTCTTGCATTTCCCATACATATCAATTAGTGCATTTGAAACTGCAACACATGGACTATAACCCATTTTTGTCACAATTCCATGAATTGCTCTCCCATTGTTAATGTCTCCCATCAAAGAAAAAATAGATAAAATGCCAGTAATTGTAAATCTACAAGGTGAAATCCCTTCTTCACCCATTTTTCTAAAAACATCTAATGCCTTGTTGAGGCAACCAATTTGGGCATAACCATTGATCATTGCGTTCCAAAGCGCTGCATCTCTTATGGGTAACTCTTCAAATACTTTCTCTGCATCCTCCATTAAGTCTATTTTTAAGTAAGTATTAACGAGAGCACTAGCAACAAACACATCTGACTCCAACCCCATTTTAAACAAACAACCATGAATCTTCCTAACCTCCATCACCTCACAACAAGCTCTAACTACACTTGGAAAAGTGAACTTATCAGGCATTACACCTGCTGACTTCATTCTCTTATAAAATCGAATCCCTTGTCCAGCAAGCCCATTTGCAACAAATCCAGCAATTATTGCATTGTATGCAAACACATTACGGTCATGATATGGATCATGGAAAACTAAAACAGCCTGTTCCATTTGATTGCATTTAGAGTACATATTGATCAAGCTAGTAACGGATGAAGGCAAATGAATAAACCCAGAAGTGATCATTAAGGAATGTAGTTGTTTTCCTTTGGTGAGATGCTTGTGGTTGGCATACGATTGGAGAGAAAAATTGCAGGAGGCTACATCGTAGTGTATTTGAAAAACAAAAAGTTTGGAGGGTAAACTGAGAAATCGAGAAGACAATAAATGGTGATTCTTACCAATGATTTTAGAGAGGATGGTCTTTTGGCTCATTTGATTTATATAAGCCAATGTGACAAAATTTGAGAGAAGTTGTTATGAACAAAGTTCATCTATCAATAATGTCATGAAAAATCCACTGTGCAATTCTTAATTATGGTATTATCACCTACAATGACAACATATCATATATAATTAGATATGTATTTATATATTGAAAACGAAAGAATTGAAATGGCATTACGCAAATAAGAACAATCGCCTTTAACTGGAGCAAATTTTCTTAAAACTGAGAACACTTTTCATTACAGAGCGAACTTTATTATTTGAATCTGAAAGCAATTAAAAAACAATTCACTAAATGAAACATGAATAATAGGGAGAAACCTTCAAAGAAATGGAAAAGATAGAGAGAAAAAGTTTCTTTGGAAGGAGACAAGATACCAGAGTTGGGTAGCAAAAGGTTTGCTATTAGTATTAGTTAAAAAGGCTAAAATATACAAAATGCACTGTAGTTGGTTTCAACTTATCCTTAAAAATTCATGCCAATGACAAATATGGTCAAAGAGGAATTGAATTTCTTTTGCCATTTATGTTTACTCCTTCGTGGGACAAATGAAAATAACAGGGAGCTCCAACTACAAGAGCAAAGCAGAACGAAACCCATCCTTGATTCGGGTTCTACAAATGGAAACCGAATAAAAGAAGGGTTTTCACTTTTCAGTGAACCCAAAATAATTAAACACCAATCATAAGAATGAACGACAGTGAAACTCAGTTATCATCTCCTATGCACTTATACAACAGTAGGAAAGAATTCCATGAAGAAACAACAACATAGTAAAGACGAAGAGGACTGACCGGAGCTGAGAGAAGTGTTAGTGAACCGACAGAAATCGCAACTGAAAGTGAATGATCAGGGACCATGCAATTGACGCCTTGAGAGAGATAAAAGTTAAAAGAAAACCAAAGTGAAGCTGACATCGGGAACTGGAAGAACTAAGAAAGAGAAGGCTCACCGGTGCCGAATCGAAATGAATTGTGTGTAGTTGGTGAGTGATCCCTCGAGCCATCTTACAGGGAAATTTGAATTTGTGATCCCTCCTTTATTTATGGGAAATTAAGGTTTTTGACCCACCAATGATTCAAATTGGATAAATGAATCCATTTTAAAAAAAAACCCAATTTTTGATCCCACCTCTACTTAATTTTGAACACATTTAGTGAAAAGACAAATATACCCTTATTTATGATACATTAACTTTCCCATTAACTTCCACCCAACCATTTCACCAAACTTTTAACCTCATATTTTACTTATGTTTTGAGTTTGAAACAATCTAAAATTTTCACACCATCCAAACTCCTCACAGATCACGTTTTTTAAAATTCGGGAAAGAAACATTGTCACGTGTTTGATCATTGTCCCCACACTATCTAAAATCGGTGTCCCCACATTTTCACATTTGAAGAGTTAGAGGTACGTTAAAATAAAAATTTATGAAATGATTTGAAATATTTTCCATTCATACATTTTCACTTGGCTTCTAGGAAAAAGAAAAGAAATGCAGTCGGTATCCCGGACCAAGTATTGTTCCGAGATTGAAGCTTCGAGATCCGGGATTGAATGTTCAATCCCGGACAAATCATGTTCA